GTGATAATGTTGGTGCAGATTGAATCGGGTGAGTGTCAATAAACTTTTCCGACTCATCAATGTATCCATTAGTATTCAAACGTTTGAATATATTAGGGAAAGAATTTGGAATAGGATAAAAGACGTTAGTTACGAAAAAAGAATTACTATAACTCCCCAAAGACTGGAAACGTCCAAATATATCAGAAATAACATCAGACGATTTTTTCTGTTCGACCTTTGAGACTGTGCGAAATTCATCAGGAATCCCTCTTACTACCACAGACTGTCCATAAATTGTTGGTAGACGCTGCATAAATAAAAATAATCAATGCCATTGTATTAAATAATGTAATAGTGTAAATAAACAAATTTCATACGGGCTCTAGGGGGAATGAAAGATCATTTATAACACTACGATCATCATTTGGCAATAGCGTTTGGACATCCACGTCACCATATACGCTCATTGGTAATGGAAGTGCGAAGCCAAGCGTTCCTATTTTTGTATTTCCGCGCCAGTTGAGTCGAGTAACCAAATCATGCATATGTAAAGTATTACGACGTGATCTATAGTTGAAAAAAAAAAAAAACCATTCACGGTACAATTATGCTTAATAATCATGGTAACTATTTTAATGAAAATAATACCTAAAAGGAAATGTGGAAGTTTCAATTGCAGCGGATAAAATACAACTCGAATGATATGGCAAATTTATCTAATATTATAAGAGTTAATATCAGTTGAGAAATTTGTGCCGATCATTGGTCTCGTAATAATAATAGTATATAGATATGATTCGAGAGTTTAAATCTTTTAAATGATGAATAAAGGTTGCTCAACAATTACATAATTAATTTTGACAACTTTTTATTAAATGAATTTTATATATCAATATAATTCATTTTATTAAAGTCGTCGAGAAACTCATTCAAAATTTAAAATTCCGAATTATGAATTCATGTGTTAATCATGATCCATGATCTGCAGATTTTTTGACCTAGTAGAGTATTAAAATAGATTTAACCTACAGTCGGCTGAATATATTTGATTGAGCTGCTTCTCAGAAGATTTGTGTGAACGTTCAAAGGAATGAACAAAGACGATAATTCTGACAGAAATATGGTGCTGAGAGAGGAATTCATAATCTGCTTAAAATATTTCTTCTATTCATTTAAAATAAATACATTGAGTAAATTGAGAACTTATTAGAAAATTAATGAGTATATTTATTTACATGTCCTATTGGTGACCATTCCTGACCATCGGTGATGCCAAAACTAATAACAGGTGTCTTTGGATATTCTTCACGCAATCGTTCAATGAAACTACATGAGAATCCCCCAAATCCATCAATGACATTTGTCATTACTTGAAATCCCTAAATTGTTAATATATTATAAATATATTATTAATAAATATAGAATGACATTAT